TGTTTTTCTTTTCGTCTTTATTGACTTATTCGCTTTTTATTTTAGATGCTATTCACGACCATATCGTAATGTTATGTGTAAAGATATATAAATATATACATCTTTATCAGTTATATCATTTATTTGCCTCACTTCGTCGCCGTCGAAATATCTATTATTTTCAAAATACATTTTATTAATTTATTACATCATTCGAAAATTACATGTTAAAAACGTGGTCTCAGTCCGATGTATGTGCATATTTGGATGAAATTGGTCTATCTGGTTATGTTGATAAATTTACTGGTAAGTGAATCAAAGCTTTTACATTAAGCTAACAGTTGAAACAGGAATGCCGATAGTTTACTCTTGTCCATTCTGTCTTTCCGACGAAACGAAAAGAAATTTCAACGGTCTTCGCCGTCATATTCGTTTAATTCACAGTTGTGATCCCAGTTTTCGACTGCAGTGTCCTGTTTGTAATGATGGAAAGTTTTTAGTTAGTCATGAAGCATGGAGGAAACATGTGTTTCGTAAACATGGTCCTGAACAACCGAATAAACATTCTCCTAAGTTGACAAACTTATTTCGCGTTGACAATACCTTGCCTGATGAGTGCCTTCATGAAACTGCTGCGCAGTCTTTCCTTGGAGAGATTCAAATCCAAAATGAAACTTGTGGCAAAGAAGAGGTATCGTCATTTGAAAACTTGCAAAAGCTTTATTTACATTTTTTGTTGAAATTACGAGGTGAAGGTATGTTAAGTGCTAGAATAACGCAGTTAGTTAATACTTCATTAGAGAACATAATTGAAGGTGTTGTTGAATCCGTTTTGTATGCAAGTGGTGTTTCACGAAGTAATTATGACGTTCAACAGTTATTGGCTTTTATCAAAAACCTTTTTCAAGACTCTTCTCCGAACGAATACACATTCATGAAAAAATGTGAAAAAGAGTTCGACTTGATTAGGCCTGTCGAAATGTCTCTACCAGATGGTGGATTTTTCTACTACATTCCGATTAAGGAAGTATTGTGTCGAATGTTGAAGAAGACAGAGTTTGTGGAAATATTGAAACGTGGTTTAAGAGAAAACAAGTTGTACGCCGGCAGTGGCTTGATGTTTTCATACAGAGACGGAAGTATAGCTCAAAAAAGACATATTGACGATAAAATTCTAGTGCAATTGTATACTGATGAAATTACGTGTGTCTCTCCTTTGAGAGGACGTCAGACAGAATACAAAACCAATATGATCTATTTCCGTTTAGATGATCTACCTCAAGAGATGCAAGGCTTGTTGTGTAACATTCATCTTGTTGCTGTTGGATATTCTCACGACATGCAAACAGACGAAGGTTTAAGTGCTTTTTGGGCTCCTGTTAAAAGTGATCTTATGTCGCTAAATGATGATGGATTATTAGTCAAAGACGAAGTTTACAAGTTCACATCTAGTACAGTGTGTTCAGATAATCTTGCTGCTCATCGAGTTGGAGGGTTCCAATGTAGTTTTAGCTCAGGAAGAGTGTGTCGATATTGTTTGATTCCATATAAGGAACTTGCTAATATTAGCGACGAGCGTTCTTCTGTATGTATTCGTACTGTTGATACTCATAATGAGCATGTTCGCCATGTTACACGATTTCCCAATGATGCTTCGATTTATGGTGTTAAAGGGCCGTCTTGTCTTTTGGGTTTACCAGGATTCCATCCAATTTCATCTTTGCCTCCAGATGTCATGCATGATTTAATGGAGGGCGTTATGCCTCTCATCACGTCTGCAATATTCAGCACTATAGTTCATGATCGTTTGATGACAGTGAAACAGCTATTGGATTTAGTTAACAATTTCTCTTATGGTCGTCACGATAGAGATAGTACGCCACCATTATTGAAAGACAATCATATACGTGATCAAAAAATACCTGGTAAAGCGATTGAAAAATATT